TGGATCCCTGGATTCTGGGATCATGACCTGAGCTGAAGGCAGTTGCTTAACCAACTGAGCCACCCAGGTGCCCCTATACTTTCCCCTTCTTGTCTTACCCTACCCTTTGAAAGCAAGACTCTAAGTACAGCCCATACTCAATTTGGTGTTGGAGGAGAGAAGGGGGATCAAACTCCACCTCCTGGTGAAAAATAGCTTTTCAAAATAAATATAAAACTTTCTCAATTCCTTAAAACATATACTGATGGCCTCAAAGCATTCCATAATGCAATTTCATGCTTATTTAATATGAGTCACTCTGACAGGCACTTTAAGTAAGAGTCAGACACAGTCCGTCACAGGGAGTATATAAAATAATAAAGATACCACAAGAAAAATCCAAGTACTATAATGTGTCAAAAAAGGAAATCAAATTCAGTTTGAGTAATGAAAAGTTTCAAAGAACAAGGGATATTCAAGCAAAGCACTCAAAACTGAACAGTACTTTTACACCTGAAAATATATTAAAATTGAACACCCATTTATGATTAAAAACTGAACAAGGTGGAAAGTATGTATAGAGGGAACATATGCCAACATAGTAAAGGCCATATATGACAAGCCCACAGCTAATATCACGTTCAATGATGAAAAGGTAAAAGCTCTTCCTCTAAGATCAGGAACAAGAAAGGATGCTCACTCTCACCACTTTTATTCAACATAGTATTGAAACTCCTCACCAAAAGCAATTAGGTAAGAAAAATTTAAAAAGACATCCAAATAGGAAAGGAAAAAATAAAAGTGTCATTTATTGCAGATGACCTGATATTATGTATAGAAATCCCAAAGACTCCACCCAAAAAAAAAAAAAAAAACCTGTTAGAAGAAATGAATTCAGAAAAGTTGAAGGATACAAGATCACTATATAAAAATCAAGTGTACTTCTATACATTAATAATGAACTATCACCAAGAGAAAATAAGAAAACAATTCCATTTACAGCTGCATCAAAAAAAAAAAAAAAAAACCCACAAAATACTTAGAAATAAATTTAGTGAAGAAGGTAAAAAACCTTGGTTTACTGAAAACTATAAAACACTGATGAATGAAACTGAAAATGACATAAGTAAATGTAAAGATATTCTGCATTCATTGATTGAAAGAATATTGTTTAAATGTCCATACTATGCAAAGCAATCTACAGACTGTTGTCAGTCTATAGATTTGACAGATCTCTGTCAAAATTCCAAAGGCATTTTTCACAGGATTAAAACAAACAATGTGGGGCGCCTGGGTGGCTCAGTGGATTGAGCCTCTCTGCCTTCGGCTCAGGTCATGATCTCAGGGTCCTGGGATCGAGCCCCACATCGGGCTCTCTGCTCGGCAGGGAGCCTGCTTCCCCCTCTCTCTCTGCCTGCCTCTCTGCCTACTTGTGATCTCTCTCTCTCTGTCAAATAAATAAATAAAATCTTTAAAACAAACAATGCTAAAATTTGCATGGAACTACAAAAGACCCCAAATAGCCAAAGCAATCTTGAGAAAGAACAACAAAGCTGGAGACCTCCTGCACCATGGTTGCTAACTATATTACAAAGCTATAGTAATTAAAACAGTAAGAAACTGGCATAAAAACAGACACACGGGGGCATCTGGGTGGCTCAGTTGGTTAAGCATCCAACTCTTGATTTTGGCACAGGTATTTCATGATCTCAGGGTTGTGAGATCTAGCCTGGCATTGGGCTCCATGCTCAGCAGGGAGTCTGCTTGAGATTCTCCCTCTCCCTCTGCTCCTCCCCTCTCTAACATAAATTTTAAAATCTTTAAAAAAAATAAACAAAACAGATACATTGATCAATGGAACAGAATAGAGAGCCGAGAAATAAACCCATGCATATATGGTCAGTTAACTTACAACAAAGGAGCCAAGAATATACAATGGGAAAGGACAGTCTCTTCAATAACTAGTGCTACAAAAACTTGACAGTCATATGCAAAAGAATGAAACTGGACTACTGTCTTACACCACACACAAATGAACTCAAAATGGATTAAAGAATGTAAGCCTGAAACCATAAAATTCCTAGAGAAAAACATAGGTGGTAGGCTCCTTGACAGTGATCTTGGTGATGATTCCTTGGATCCGACTCTAAAAATAAGCCAGTGGGACTACATCAAACTAAAAAGCTTCTTCATAGCAAAGGAAATTTTCAACAAAATGAAAAGCCAACCTACTAAATGGGAGAAACTATTTGTAAATCATATATCTAATAAGGGGTTAATATCCAAAATACATAAACAACTCATATAACTCAATAGCAAAACATTGAACAACCCAGTTTATAAAATGGGCAGGGGATGTGAACAGACTTTTTTTTTTTTTAGATTTTTCATTTATTTACTTGAGAAATAGAGTGTGTGCACGCGAGAGCACAAGCACGAGGAGCAGCAGAGGGAGAGGGAAAAGCAGACTCTCTCCTGAGGAGAGACTCTGAAACCATGACCTGAGCCAAAGACAGATGCTTAACCAACTGAGCCACCCAGGCACCCCTAGACATTTTTCCAATGAAGACATAAAGACTGCCAACAGACACATGAAAAGATCCTCAACATCACTAATAATCAGGGAAATGCAAATCAAAATCACAATGAGACATCATCTCACCCCAGTCAGAATGGCTAGTATCAAAGAAAAACAAAAAACAAGAAACAAAACAAGAAATAGCAAGTGTTAGCAAGGATGTGGAGAAAACCCTTGTGCGCTGTTAATAAGAATGTAAATTCATCCAGCCACTTGGAAAACAGTATGGAGGTTCCTCAAAAAATTAAAAATAGAATTACATATGCTCCATCAATTTTACTGCTGGGTATTTATCTGAAGGAAAAAAAAACCCACTAACTCAAAAAGATATATGCATCCCCATGTTGAATTCCTAACCGCCAATACCTCAGAATATGACAGTATTTGGAGACAAAATCTTTAAAATGGCAGTTAAGGTTAAATGAAGTCATTAGCATAGGCCCTAATCCAAAATGACTGTGTCCTTTTAATGAGATTGGAATTCAGAAGCTAGAGTGCAAAGGATCTGAAGATACCAAGAGAAGAGAGCCATCTACAGGCCACAAAAAGTCTAAAAACAAATCTGTGGACACCTTGATCTTGGAGTTTTAGTCTCCCGAATTATGAAAAAATAAATTTCTGTTGTTTAACCCACCCAATCTGTGGCATTTTGTTAGGACAGCCTTTGCAAATACAGATGATTAGAGATTCTTTTTTTTTTATATATTTTATTTATTTATTTGACAGAGAGAGACACAGCGAGAGAGGGAACACAAGCACAGGGAGTGGGAGAGTGGGAAGCAGGCTCCCCGCTGAGCAGGGAGCCTGATGTGGGGCTTGATCTCAGGACCCCGGGATCATGACCTGAGCTGAAGGCAGAGGCTTTAACCCACTGAGCCACCCAAGCGCCCCAATGATTAGAGTTTCTAAATGAAATCTACTTTGGCCAAACTATCCACAGTGATTTAGTATTTAAACTTTGTTATTGAATAGTACCTTCCCTTCATTAGTGAGATGCAGTAAGATAGAGTAAGAAGAAGGGTGATGGGGTGCCTGGGTGGCTCAGTGGGTTAAAGCCTCTGCCTTCCCCTCAGTTCCTGATCTGAGAGTCGTGGCATCAAGCCCTGCATCCAGCTCCCGGTTGAGCAGGGAGCCTGCCTCCCCCGCTTCTCTCTGCCTATGTGATCTCTGTCAAATAAATAAAATCTAAAAAAAAAAATAAAAGAAAAGAAAGAAAGGAAAAGGGTGAGAGAAGAGCCTCAGAAACTTTAGTTCTTTCACGTTAGAATTTATTTCCTATAAACTTGTCATTCCAACGCTAACCATAATAGCAATTTTTGCTCCAATGAAATTATTTCCCCCCAGAACAGTATGTAGGGAGTTCATGAAGATTCTGTAGAGGTCTACTATGGTACTTTATTCACCAGGCCTCTTGATACCATCTTTCCTGGCGGCAACAAACCTTCCCAGAGGGTCCACTACTACCCCAAAACGTCACCTGGAACCTCCCTTTCGCTTCATAGAAGAGGACAAGGGAAAACAGGAAATAAATTTAATAGCAGTTAATAAGCACATGTCTTGGACTAAGAGTATTCCTAAATATTTTTAATTCAACTTTACAAAAGGTGACTCTATTTTTCTTTAATTGCACCCTCAATGAATGTACAGCAGGGAGGTAAGACTCAGACGCCCGCTTTCCAGAGTCAATCGCGCCCCGCTGCGGCCAGATACCACCACCACATCATGGGTCAGTCTGCAACGCGGGAAATCAGAAAGACACGTAAATCTCCCGCACGCTCTCCTGCCCCATGTCCTTTGCTTTTTCTAAGCTCGTGTTTACAGACTCTTTCGGCGAGGCTTTCCGTAACGAGTGTAAATACTCCTAAGAGATTAGACAGAAAAAAGAAATAGGGAAAAAAAAGAAAAAATGACTGCAGATCACTGACACCTGCGCTTCAGGAACAGCAATTCCAGCGGAAGACCAAAGTCCGGGATAGTTCATTAATAGACAAAAAAAATCAGCTAGTTCCATATATATTAACCTACCTAAAAATTTAGAAGCTGAAAACTATATAACTTCGTGTTTTGGTAACTACGGCAACTTCAAACGTAACTACTCTAAAGTAAACAGTAAACAAACTTTTCACCTTCCCAGTCGGCCGGATATCAGAAAATCAGGATTTACTAGTCTCGCGAGAACTTCTGACTCCTGTATGCGCGTGCGTCAGAATCGAAGAGCTGGTGAGCCTCCCAGTCCCCAGATGGGCGGGGGAGGTGGAGCAAACTCTGAGAGGAGGGAGGGGCCAGCAGGAAGGGGTGGAATCTTGGAGGGGGCCGTGAAGGGAGGAGCGGGGGGAAAAACGCGTGCGCCCCGCCCCTCTCGGCGCTTCACCGGAACAGCGTCACCAGCTCTATAAGAGAGCGTGCGCCGAGAAAGGGATCCTTTTACATCCGGGAAGCGTCGGGGTTAGGTTATGTTATTAAGGTAGGCTGTCGTGTTTTGTGGACCACGGTGGTAATTGGGGCAGAACTTTTTGGCTTAGTTAAAATGCAGGAGTTTCAAGAGCTTTATAGTGGTAGGTTAAGTTCAGCTGTGAAAACCTCTAGGTTTGAAAATCTGAGGAAACTTAGGTGTTCGTGAGGTCACGAGGCGGCCACGTGCAGCCCTGGCTACCGAGTCTGAAAGGCCGAGCGCGCTCGGGTCTTGGGTGCTCGGGCAGAGGTACGAAGCACGTGGCGCCTTCGGCAAAGGTCGTGAATTCCGCTGTCGGTGTCAAGTGGCCATCTTGAAACTGCCTCGCCGCTGTTAAGTTTTAAGACCGCATCCCGGTACTCCCCCATTTAGATCTAGGTGAGTAGTGTCTCGCTCTGCATGCGCAACCGTTATCGGATTGTGAATCTCCATGTATCTTTGGGACCTGTCGGCTGTGGCAGTCTCCCTTCCTAGCCATGGAAGAGCATATTCTTGTTTATTGGCAAAGCTGTCACCATTTAATTGGTATCAGATTCTGACTTGCACAAGTAACATTCTTCACTTACGAAAACTTGGAGGGTGCTGGGTTATCGGGCACACATCTAACCATTGGTTCAAATGTTTCCAGGAAGCAGAAGTAATTGTTCCGATGGATAATAGAAAACATGACCTGGTAGGTTCCTTTTTATTAATATTTCGTAGTTAGTCTGAAACCCTTAGTGCTAAGGAATTGGAAGGCCAGAATTGGCCCGTTTTTGCTGTTCCTTTGTAATTTGAAAGGGGTTGATAGCCAACTAAATAGAAAGTAACAGATAGTTGCTAAGACTTCAGCACCGTGATGTGAGTACAGATCAGTGATATAACGTTGGTTATCTTCTCTTGCAGATAATCGAGAACTTCAGTGTGGTATGAGTGAAGTCCTGTTTGTTTAGAAGCCTGTGACGCACTGCCAAAAGGTGATTTTAAATCTCAACAGGTTGGGTATTGAATGGCGAATAATATTCTGGAAACTGTCAGGGTGGTGTGTTCAATATAGGTCTGAATTTTTTGCCTATAGCCTTTAAGTAGAGAATATGTGAGCACTCCTTGCTTGCTGTAATTAAGTAAAATGCTTGATTTGTCTGGAGAATCCGTGTTCTCTGACTAAATGATAAGGAGGTGGAAAGGTATTTGTTACTGCAAATAATAAGTAAGACTACCTCTTAGGGTAAGAACTGGTGTTGCTATAGTATGAATGAGTATCGTTGTGAGGTATTACCGTATTTGGAGGGAAACAGCATTAAAGGCAGATACCCTTAAGGGACAGCACAGTCATTTTGTACCACACAAAAGATTAAGACTACTATATAAGGTGAACAACTATGCACTTTATTCACACAAATGTACACGGAACACTTGTGTCTTTTAAAAGTCACACTTAATGCTTAACAAAAAAAAATTAGCTATAATAAAGACATACATTATGAACCAAGTATTCAAGTTTGAGCAAACTGTAGGCTGCCTGTTCACTCTCTTGTCTTTAAAGTGTCCGACCTCTGGTCTTAATAAAATTTCAATATAAATGTTGCTTGCATCTGCACTATAGTTTAATTAGAAAGGTGGCCTGTGCGACATTTCGGTAGAGATAAATTTTCTCTCCCGTATTGCACATTTTCTCAAGCCCTTGTGCAGGTGTGCATTGTGTAGCTCTATCATCTCTGTAAATGTAAATGCTTTTTAAAAATTTCCTTTATCAAAAATCTTGAGCTTTCAGAAAAGTTTTAATGTTCTGCCTAATATAGCATTGCAGTTCTGTAAACTATTAAAGCACCTTTATGTTAGCACCAGTTTTTTACAAAAACGACACAAGTGGATGCAGTGGAGAAAGTAGTGACGTCCCCTTCATGTGGATTTAGCCTTTGAAGAGGATTGCTTAACTGATCTTGATCCTAAAGTTCACACCGACCTTTTTACCTGTCTTTATGCATCTATTTCTTGGATATACAAAAACTGTTTAAACCACCTAAGGGCTCTTGATGTTAGCAACATAATATGGTGGTGATTGCTTAGGTAGCCTGAGGGGCATGCCTTCTGTTTGAGCAGAGATTTTGCGGGTGCATGGTAAGCAGCTGTCCCTTATTGGTTTGGGAAATGGCCAAAGGGGAAAATGGCCTGCAGACAGCAGTGGAGGAAGGAAAGAACATTGTTAGTACTGGGTCAGTACTGGATCCCACTGGCTTACCTTGGCCTCTGGGTTTGTTTCTTACCAGCCTTTTGTAAATTATCAGTGAGGTGCATAGCCACTTAATGCAGGGCCTGGCACATAGGTGGTATATGAATTAAATCAGTGGACACAAGTTACAGAGTTTTTTTCCCACTACATAAGCAGAGAAAGCTTTTTTAATAGTTATTTTTACTAGCTGGGACAGGATAGTAGAAATCTACATGTTTCGGTCATTACCAGAAAGTTGGCAATAGATGGCACTCTCAGTCATGGTACAGCAAATTGGCACAATGCCAAGGAAAAAGCTGTAAATTTTAGGGTAGCTGAAAGTAACTGCTAGAGGATGTTAACATGTAAGATGGATAAATTAAGTTGTACATCCCAACAATTTGAAGGCATTCTTTAGTCTCAGGTATTCCAAATTTTGCTAGGTAACTAGAATATGTTGCATGGTACAAAGGCTTCATTCAGGAATGATTGTGACTGATCCTATTCCAGTTTAGGTTTATAATGGATTCCTTCACCTTTTTGGCCCTTGATTTCCTCATTTGTCAAAGGCTACAGAGATTTCATTGTGGAAATTTCTCAGTCTTGAAGAAAATCTGAGCTTAATTATACAATACTACTCTTTTTAATAAAGAGTACTGATTCAATTATAAACTCGTAAGCCAAATGAATAAAGACGGCCTTAGTGCACAACTGACATACAGTAATCTCTGGAGAGTGATGAGAATAAAGACTTCAACAGTGCTAATCAAGAATAATTAGTATAACACTGAGGTATCTAACAAAGAATGTTCACATCACAAATTTCTCAAGCAGCAATGGTATACATGATTTAATCACAACACAAAAGCAGGAACATGGCTCTCATCCCCATAAGTTGGCATCTCTGGCTGAGTGCTAATGTAGAGGTTGAAAATTTTCCAACATATTCCCTTCAGATTTCTGTGAAGGATTATATTTTGGTGACACTTTTTATCCAAGGTACAAAGGCTGAGACTTTGGTATAGACACCAGGTGAATCCTTGGCTCCACAGCCATACCCCCAGGAGGTCACCCCATACACAACCCAACTCTCTCCTGACCGAACACACATGAGTGGTCCTCCACTGTCTCCCTGGCAGCTGTCAACACGTTTGTGTTCCTGCAGATTTCCAGCACAGAGCATTCTTCCTGTAAACCGACCCTTATAACGTTCTTCACAGAACCTCTTGGGAAGCAGGGGGATGGCTGCTTGTTGTAGAGTTCTTGAATAGGCTTTTCCTAGTCAGACCAAATAATCTGAGTTAGATGACAGCTAAAGACCTTACAGAAAACATTTAATAGTTAAGTGAACATTTAATATTCTTAAAAATATAAACCTTAATGTGATCTAATGTAGTTTAAATGAGTGATAACTAAATGGTATAGAAGGACATAAAGTGGCAAGGACTACTCTAAGTAGAAGCATGGCATTTCATAAGGACTAAGCAAAACACTATATACCAAACCGGCCTAAGTTTGACCATTTGAGGTTAGTGTACTCTACTGGCAAGCCACTCATTGTACAGTGACTAAAATGTAGAACTGTTGTTCTCTATGGGTCTTTTCTTGGATGTAAATTCCATTGTTTTGTACCTTATTTAATCAATTGGAATAACTCATAATAAAACATTGTGTGAAACTGACTCTGACTCAACTTTATCATTTCTATTGAATTATGTGTCTACAGGAAGGTAAATGAACCTTCCCTCATGAATTATAATGGATATAATTAAGCTTTCCCAGAGACTCCATTTGCCTCATAGATGCCCGTAGTGTACAGAGAAGACATGTATTCTAGATTTGATTATTGTATCATCCAGAAAGTGTTTTCTTGCTTTTCTGCAGCAATGAAATAATGCAGTTAAAAAGCCCATATTTTGTGCAGTGTGTGATGAACACAAGTGTTTACTAAATAAAACATTGAAATTATCACACATAGAAATACTTCTTTGATGGTCTTTCAAGAGTACAGTGATCAGCGTTGGTCATTTTTAACGGAGAGCAGTCAGCCTATCACTTCTTCCTCAATAGCCATTTGTGAATCAAGCACTCAGTCCAGGTAAGCCCCACATCTGTTTCAAGGACCATCCTGAACAAGCACTAGCTGATAACACTGATTTAATTCTGTAGCAAACGCAGTCCAGAAAACTGTTTGCCTGACTATAAAATGAGTATCTTGCTCTACCTTTGGGGTTGGGAGGGTGGGATCTCCACTTAAAAGCAGCTGCTCTTTTGTCTGTTCTATATTTAGAGATTCTCCATAAAATTGAGCATGATAATGGCCTTCATTACAGAAAAAGCAAGGCCATCACATACCAAAGCCCTCTGCTGGTGTAGCTGTATCATAGTCCTGGAAAAGCTTAAAATAGAGTCAGCCAGGCACAGGTGTTGGAGTAGGGTCTTAAAAATTGGTTTCCTCAGTCTCCCTGCTAGTCTGGAACCGAGAGTACAGGATTCTCTATCCCATAAGGCAACTGAGTTCTGTCAATTTGTGCTAATAATAATGTAACCAACAGTGCCCTCAGGATATGAATCCAAACAACATGCGTGCAGCACACACTTGGCAGAATTTCTAAACAACTAAGCCTGAACCCAGATTTTCATAACCATTGTACACCCAAAAAGTACTGGTAATCCCAGACACAAGAACATGCCCAGGTCTCATTTGTTCTTTGTATTATCTACATTACCTGTGTCTCCCCATCCTGTTATGTAACAATTGGAGGCGGTTTTCTGTGGCCTCTCTCTCCGGAGTGGCAAACAGGCCGGCAAAACATGGCCGCTAAATCTAACACATTGCTCTTCTGGTCCTTCTAATCTAACCAGAGCGATGTCATAGTCACTGCTGTCAGGTCGATACCCCCGATGAATCACAATCTGCTGAACTCTGATTTCTTCTTCAAATTCTTCTGGCACCAAAGTATGATAATCCCCAACCCTAACAGCATAGTTCCTTGTGCTGTTACCATACCTGAGGGGCAGAGAGTAGTAAGCGGTTGGAAACAACTCTCAGGTACAGTGGATTGAGATACTTTATTCCTAATCATTATCCCTTTCTGTAAGTTTACCCTTTCCAGTTCTCTGAGCCCACCACTCTCGGTTGTGTACTTCAAACCCATTTCATCGCTTCATTTCACAGCTTAATCCAGGTTCCCGTGAAATTGTTTTCTGAGAAGACGCAAATGTGGAGCACAAGTAGCAAATAACAGCTAATTGTTAACTTGTTATTTTCCCGTCATGAAAAAAGATAAAAACCGGAACAAATAGTATAGAGTAAAATTACTGTCTTGTATTTGCTGTCTTCGTTTTTCTATCATTTCCGAGATGTTCATCACAAAGTTCCTGGAGGGCAGAAATCATGGCTGGTCTAGCTTTGTATTCCTCAAAACACTTAGCACAACCCCTTGACTCCTGTTTCCTGTGAACTGAGTGCAAACCAAAACTCTATTTTCAGGGCGACATATATTCAGTATATTCTCTCAAATCTGTCCAGATGTTATCCCAGTGAGACCTGATTTAAGATTGCAGTCTACCTTTTGTCCTCCATTCCCCAGCACTCCCAATATCTTTAATCTCTCTTCTTTAACACCACTTTCTAATAGGCCATCTGAGTTACTATTACATTTGTAGCTCTGTCTCCCTCTGCTTAAATAAGAGCTATCCCCGCCAGGAATCTTTATTTTCACTGATGAATCTTAAACACCTACAACAGTGATCCCTGTTAAGTAGAAATGCAGCATATGTTTTGATTCAGTAAATGAATGAATGTATATTTTTAATGTGTCTTTTTCCCTTAAACTATTCAATTTAAGTAGAAACAATATTTACTAGATTGATAGTTCTCAGCTTGTTTTTTTAACCACATACCTTGATTATGGTGCATCGACCTAAAGTAGTTTCCCAACCTCAGCACTACAGACATACGAAACCAGATAAATCTCTGTTGTGAGAGAAAGGCTATTCTGTGCATTGTAGAATGTTTGGAAGCATCCTTGGCCTTTCTTCACAAGGCAGCCAGTAAAGCACATGCACACACCCCTCAATTTTGACAACCAAAAATGTCTCCAGACATTTCCCTGTGTCCCCTCTGGTGCAAACTGGCCACAGTTGAGAACTACTGACATAGACTACTGATCCACCCCACTTCCTGATTACTTCCTCTTTCTCACTTAAGATTATATGGCACCTTGCTTACTTACCACCTACCACTACTTAAAACATTCTTGGGGCGCCTGGGTGGCTCAGTGGGTTAAAGCCTCTGCCTTTGGCTCAGGTCATGATCCAGGGTCCTGGGATCGAACCCCGCATCGGGCTCTCTGCTCAGCGGGGAGCCTGCTTCCTCCTCTCTCTCTGCTTGCGTCTCTGCCTACCTGTGATCTGTCAGATAAGTAAATAAAATCTTAAAAAAAAAAAAAAATTCTTGATGGCTTAATTTCCAAAATGTCCTTTTAGTTCCCTAACTTTCTCACCTACTCCCATCTGATACCCAGAACTGGTATTCACCAAATACTACACATTTTTAAAGTCTTGATTTCAAGCATTTCCTACTTTCCACCTTTTACAGTTTGAACAGCTCTATATTCTTTCAACCCCATTAGACTTCAATCCTTTAATCCCACTAGTTTCATTCACTGCAATCTCACACCATTTATGATTTCCCTTTTTTAACAGGCTTGGATTCACAATCACTTTTTTGCAAAAACTCAGTCCTTCATTCCTTTCATATGCCAAATTTCCAACGTGGGTTTCGTCAACTCCGCTCCTACTTTGGGCTAGCATCTGATTGTGAGTTGGGAAAACATATGTGGTACAGCTCTCACCTTAATTCTTTTTATGAAAACTTGGAAGTCTTACACTGGATAGGAGACCTGTACTTGAATGCGCATTTAGAGAAGTCAGTATTCAAAAGTTGGGATTTTCTAGTGACTGCCTATTTAAGTACAACCTCTCATTTCCTCCTATAAAATTACTGGAAGCTCTAAGTTGCTCAAACACTAAATAACCCTATGTAGGTCTTGTGGTATATAGTTAACTATGTTAGCACAAAAAACTGAACAGTGCAACAAAGATGATTTCTCTTTTTCTGCCACCTATTGCTGATCTGTAATACTAATAATTTCCTGTGATTCCTTGATTCTCCATTTCCAACCTTAAGTCATCACAGATCTTTAAAATTCAGAAGGCTTTTTATACATTGTTCCCAGAGAATACACTCTTGTGGATTCCACTTCAAAATTTAAGTGAAGTTTGGCATTATTTCACATCCTGAAACAATAAAAAGTAAAACTCATGGAAAAAAATCAGATTTAAATACATCATTTCTACTTTCTGTGTACTGATACTATTATAAAAATTCAGTATGCCTAATTAATGTATTCAGGTTTTGAAGTAAAACCTCAAGTGATCTAACACCTTTCTAAAAAGAATAATTGCCAAGGGACACCTGGGTGGCCCGGTTGATTAAGTATCTGACTCTTGGTTTTGGCTTAGGTCGTGATCTCAAGGTCATGAGATTGAGCTCTGAGTGGGACTCCACAATAAAGGTGGAGTCTGTTTGATATTCTCTCTCTCCCTGTCTCTTTGCCCCTCCTGCTTTGCTCTTGTGTGCTCTCTCTCAAATAAATACATCTTAAGGGGAAAAAGAAAAAAAGAAATTGCCAATACATCGTTGAAAGTGCTGCTGAAATGTTTCATATATCTTTAGCATAGAGTTGAAGAAATTATCTCGAGCTCCACTGTCCAGTACTGTAGCCAGTTAGCCACATGTGGATAGTCTGAACTGAAATGTGCTGAAAGTATAAAATACACAATGGATTTGAATACTTAGTATGAAAAAGATTGCTAAATATATTGTCTTCATAGATAATAAGTATTAAATATCCCAATTTTTTTTAAAGATTTTATTTATTTATTTGATAGAGATCACAAGTAGGCAGAGAGGCAGGCAGAGAGAGGAGGAAGCAGGCTTCCCGCCGAGCAGAGAGCCCGATGCGGGGCTCGATCCCAGGACCCTGAGATCATGACCTGAGCTGAAGGCAGAGGCTTTAACCCACTGAGCCACCCAGGTGCCCCTAAATATCCCAATTTTTATATTTTGCAATAATAGTTTGGATATACCAAGTTAAATAAAATATATAATTAAAATTAATTCAACCTCGGTTTTTTTTTAATAGTTATTTAAATATTAGAGAATACACATGAGCAGGGGGAGAGGAAGAGACTCTCAGACTCCCTACTGAGTGTGGAGCCTGATGTGGGGATCAGTCTCACAACCCTAAGATCATGACCTGAGCCAAAATCAAGAGTCAGACGCTCAACTGACTGAGCCACCCAGGTGCCCCTGACCTATTTGGTTTTTTTGTTTTGTTTTGTTTTTGTTTTTGGGTTTTGGGGTTTTTTTTTTTAATCCTCTAATGTGGCTACTAGAAAACTTAAAGTCACATTTGTGGCTCGCATTGTATTTCTGCTAGACAGCACTGGTCTAGAGAAATAGTTTGGCATAAACCAGGTACCCTGTTTTATTATATCTCTTTAATGCAATCTCTTACATTGCTTATAATTTTTAAGCCTGAATTATGGGCATTCCCTTCATATGTGAACTTTTTATATCCTTTCAGATAATTACATTACTGTTCACCTAAATTAAAAAAAAAAAAAAAAGTCATGGCTGCAATATTTTCCCCTCTTTGAAATACAGCTGTGATACTTTTCTAAAGTAATCCTTGTATCTAAACTAGCCATAAAAATATATTCTACATGATCTGAAAATTGGGTCTTCAGCCAGTAAACAAAGAAACAAGACATTACTGCAACAAGGAAATTTTGTTTTAAAATACTCCAGTGTTAAAGTCTTGGGCAATCTTGCCTTAACGTGTCGCCTCATGCCTGTGCCTGGACTTCTGCAGTAGTCTGTCCAATAGCCTTGCTGCTTTGAGTTTGAACTTTTTCAGTCCCTTCTTCATACTACAGCCAGAGTGAGGTTTCAGTCTGACAACACAAGTACTCTTTTGTATACCCTTCAAGGGGTCTCCACTGTCTACACAATAAAGTTCAAATGCCTTACATGATATGCAAATTCATCCAAGAATGGCCTTTGCCCACCAGATACCAGCCTGGTCTCTATGCCCCTATCATTTTAGTTGCTTGAAGAGGTGTCTCATACACCTGTCTTTATTCAGACTAGTTACAGTATCATCCCACCCCTCTCATTCTAATATGGCAAAAACTGGTTTTATCACTCAAGTCTCAAGTTAAAAACCTCCTAGGAAGCTCTTCCTGCCCTGCCCGAAAACTGCCCAATCCTGTCTTTGAACACTCCCAGTAACACTGTTCTCACATTCATAACAGTTTCTAAGCCTAGGTTAAGATGTCAGGTCCTCCCAGGTAAAGACTCTGTAAGTGTAGGAACTATGCCATACTCATTTTTGTATCCTCAGCACTAGGCAAGGTGGGTGGCACAGGAAAAAGTTTTAATCAGTGTGTGTTAAACTTCTTTTCAAAGATATCCACATCTGTATATATACACTGTCATCCCTAACTTAACTGAAATCAGAGTCCACTTCTCACCAGTTCTATAACACCATCACTAAAATTTCTAGTACTTTTTTTTTGAGAGAGCAAGAGAGTGCACACACGGGGGGAGGGGGATCGAGAGAGAGAGAGAATCTTAAACAGACTGTGTGGAGTGTGGAGCCCATTGTAGAGCTAGATCTCACAAACCCAAGTTCATGACCTGAGCCAAAATCAAGAGTCACACACTCAACAACTGAGTCATCAAGGCACCCCCTATTACATTTTTTTAAATCCCCCAAATATCTAATGTTCTTGTTAATGCTGGCTATTTACCAGAATTACCTGTACCACTTCTAAAAATATAAATGTTCAGGCTACACAATCTCTGAGAATATTAAATTAATAGGGCTGACATAGGTCCACAGGTGATTCAAATTCACATTCAGGCTTAAGAACCAC